ATATATATATATATATATATATATATATATATATAGCAGCTTTAAATATAGAGTAACATGATTATCGCGGCTGACAAGAAATAATGAACGACGCTGACAAAAAAATGTTTTCCCCCTCCCCGTTTCCGAAAATCAAAATTAATATCAAGGTTGCTTTTTTCAACAACATGATTTCCCAGAATTTGCACCGGATATTACAGTTAACCTTGAGTATTGCGAAGATGTCAGGCAGCGACTGCTGCGAAAAACTCATCGCATTTGGTTGATTTTTTATTGCCCTGATACCTGTTTGCTGAAGCTATTTCCAATTAAAAAAATGGAACAGCAACAGCCCAATCTTACCATCTTTCTCTAGTATAGCTTTTATTAACTTTACATCCTTGCCAACCTGAAGGTGGCTTGGGGAGAAAAGCATTTCTGAGAAATCCAAAACATTCGATGCTGTGACGGCAGATTTGCACTTTCACCTAACAAGCTGGAATGTGTCATTTGCATTTTGTATCGGCGATATGTATGCAATGGTGGAAATGGAATTATTGCCGACAAACTGTCTGTCGACTAATTAACTTGGAGGTCATGTTAAAGAAAAACACATTCATTTTTTGACTAGACCTGTATACAGTTCTGTAATAATTAATGGTCCAGTAATCAACTTGACAAGCTTAGTGTGTCTAGCTGTGCTTTGATGCTGTTCTTCGCTCTTATTTTCTTTTTGTTTCGTCGGAACTCCAAAGTTGGCAGTTATTTCCAGGCATCATTACTTGGATTACCAACGCACTGGACACTTTACTCAACTTGTATGGAAGTCCACAAAACAAATGGGTGTTGGCGTGGCAATGCGACACTTCAAAGGACGTCCCGCTAACAGTTGTCAGCCCGATTTCCCATCTACAATGATTTATGTTGTTGTTAAGTATGACCCGCCCGGAAATGTACTTGACAAGGAAAATTACGACAACAATGTTCTGCCACCCATACAGTAAAACAGCATGAAACCAGTGAAAATTCTCAGGATTTTAGTTGCAGTCGCTCTTCATAAGCAATAACAAAAATTTAGCCAGCATTTAGCATTTTAAAAAAACGCATCAAAACAATGTAGGAAACTGGAACGAAGCAACCCATGGGCTTGCGCTATTAGTCCATTATTCGATAAAACAAATTTATAATCGCATTTAGTGTTGGTAAGATCGAAAGATCAACCTTAATTTTCCAGTAAGGTCAAGGTTAAATCGCGCCTATTTAGTACTTACTCCCGTTGTTTTAACAGTCTTGAAATTTGAACTTATTGTACACGAACTACCAGTGATCTCACCAGTCCATCTAATGAAAACATTTCTAAAAAACCTGATATTAATTCACTAATTGTATTTGATGCATTTTAGGAAAAACATTTGATAAAAAAACCTGAGGTGAATTTACAAAGCACAATTCATTAAAATATAAATGTATAGAATCCATCAAAATGCAGATGTCTCTCCCGAATGAAATAAAAGTATGCTAATGGTAAATCAAATGATCCAAACTATCAGTAACTCGCACAGTCCGCCGAAAAATGCCAGCATCATATTAAGGACAAGTCACATGTATTGCATAACCTCCACGGGGAGATTCTCTTATTCTCTCCATGTAAATTTAGGTTAAATTATTCTGAATTTCAAAACAGTGAAGCTTCGGAATTTCTTTAGACAAAATAGTTCCAACGCTTATTTTTGTTTCGATAGAAGTCACAGATCTTCGCGCAAAATGATATATTATCTTTATAATGGCCATGCTGGATGTTGGCATAACATAAACAATGACTTAAATTCCAGCCACTAATATAACACTTGGTGGTTTGTTAATAGTAGAAATCTTAAGATTCCACCCAAACTTCATCACGAAAATACACCCAACTCGGGAGATGGGAAGAAAGAAGTAAAAAATTCATAAAGGAATGGTACATAAAAGTTCTTCATTGTTTGGCCCAAATGTTACCAATTGCCACACATGCAAGATTTAGGGAAAAATTCTCTTTCCAAATAAAATCTGTTATTGACGTTCATCAAGCGGCAAGATCATTCAGCGCGACTTTCCCCAAACCCCCCCCCTCCCCCCCTCCCCTGCACTCCTATTTCTTCAACTTCACCGTTTTGTTTGGCCGGTTGGTATTTGGCGACTAGCTGAAATTTTTAGCACAGATTTGTTATTAGGAGGGTTTATTTTCAAACAGCTCTGAACATCTGAAAAGGATTTGTGCATTAAATGGATGTACATGTTCTCAAGTGGGAGAATACTCTCATGTCAGATGACGGGATGGGAACAGAAAAGAACCGCTCGGTCTACAGAATTTAAGTAACAAATAAAAGAATTTAAGAGTATTCTAGTTCTGTGTCACAGAAAGAGGTAATAGGATACAAGATTGAGTACATGGGATAAAATGGGTCGCTTTGATAATCTGGACTACATTGATAGTATGCATAGTGATTTTTTTTTTCAATTTCAGAAGTGAAATTTGTACGATACACATGAATTATTGCCTGGACTCATATCGTTATGCAGATTACCACTTAAAGGCAAAAAAATGATCGTCGAAAATGAGTCAGTATCTGTCGATCTACTGTCTTTCCAATATCTTACTATTTGAATTAATTTGTTACACCATCATACAAAAAAGTCAAGCCATACGAATTGTTGGCACCTGGAGCTCTCGCAATGGTCGATTCTTCATCCTTGCTAAATTTGGTTTCCAACAAATAGATCCATTGGATATGGAGCATAGTTGTGGATTTGTTTATGGCAATGTATCGTCAGAGACAGTTAATGGAGGTAATTCTCATCTTTTTAGATTTTGCCTCACTCTAAACGATTAAAATTTGTTTGATATTTTTATTTTGCTGTTTGACCTTTATTGTTGTAGTGCGAGGAGTATTGATGATTGTGCCGAGAACAGTTATTAATGGATTTCTTGATAAAGCAGCGCTCGGACAGTCATGTGGCTCTTTGTTACAGGTATTTCAATAATGCATTGTGGAAGTTCTTGATGCTTACCTTTGTGGAGTTCATTAAAACATATAGTCCTTAACCATTTATGTTTATAATGGATTTCACACGTTCTGCTCTTTGCCGCATGTTTACAAATATGCAGTAATGCGAAATATTGGAAAAATTTGTTGATTCTTCTAAATATTCCTTCGCTTTCACAACTGCTTTACTATTCATTGTGACACGGTTATATCTTGCTAGGACTGTGCGTTTCGTTAGTGAGATTTATATTTTTGCCTAGAATTAGAATTTGTGTCAAGTGAAAGAAAGATGCCGATTTTTCTACTTCTTTCAGAATATCAGTTCACTTGCGTTTGAAAGGAAATGCCTTCCGAAGGGCAAAGGCGACCTCATGAGATGGATTCCTTGTCCAACAGGAAAACTCTGTGCTGAGGAAGACATGCCTGGGAAGGTTCCAATTTATTGTTATGTACTATTTTACTTTCTGTTTAACTGTTGCCTTTATGCTGCATTGGGCATAATTGTGCGAGACTTTGTTTTGCAAATATCTTGTTTTGTTCATTATAATCACTCAAATCGGAAACGTATTCAATTAAAAGTGAGTCAAAATTGACATAATCTTGGCGGGTAAGACGTATATGGCAGCTTTTTAGTTCAATCTAGCAAATTTACTTAACAAATAGTTGACATTGGCATTGCTCTTCAGGTAGTAAATGGTTCTCAGATGACTCTCAGGATTCACGAACCATCAACTCCTCAGTATTGGTATGTGATAATGGCTGCTTGTTATTTGGATGCTTACTGCTCGTGGAAATCGTCAGTTAAGGAGGTTATTGTACATTATGATTTATGGCTTACGAACGGAAGCCCTTTCATGCCTTATTTGGATCCATTCGGCCATCAGTTCAGCTTTGAAGAGCAAGTATGCTTCAGTTTTTTTCTCTGAATAAAATCACACTTTTGTTTGAAAGTTAGTAAACGATATTGTATGACTTTCGGTTTCTTTTTTTTCTCGAAAGCGTTTTCTGATCAGTTCCTTGTTAACATGGTCATTTGCAGAATTCTGCTGAGATATACATGCTTTTTTTTATACTATATGTAGCGGTTTGGTTTTGTCAGTGGCGTTCTGTGATATTATGCAACTCTGCATCGGTTTTCCCTCGCCATCAGCTTCTTAACTATGTTATTGTATTGAAAGCATTCGGTCTAACTTTGCATTGCATAAATGTTATCATATTCTCTTTTGATGGCCAGACAAGCTTCAAGCTTATTTAAACACAAGGATTATTATGGATTTTCAGACAACATTGCTAACTTTGAAGATGTAATATATTTTTGTTTTCAGGGAGTTTTGTTTGCTCGCCTTCTTGGTGAGATCGCTCGCTTGATGTCAACGTGCCTTCTTTGCTTACTGCTCATATTACTTAGTTGCGGTTGGTCATTCGGCAGCAGGAGTGGAATTTTATTACATCCAAAAGTTATTGTTACTTGGGTGCTTCTTACGTCTGCTCATTTTCTGCTTTTTTTTCATCAATTCTGTATGTTTTTGTCTTATTTATGTTTCTAAAACGTTTGGATGGTTTTCATTCTCGATAAGCTCCCTAGTACTTGAGACTTTTTTCCTTTTTCTAGCTTCATTTTCAATTTTTGCATATTATTTGTTAAAAAATATGCAGTTTTTCGTTGACGACGTGCTGCAAGATATCGATATATTTAAATCTTGGTCAGGCTACGCAATGATTGTAATTCGTTTATTACAAGCGCTCTGGTTCTTGGTACAAATTTGTCGCCTGATAAATGAGTTAGTTCTCCTTTAATGGCTTCACTATTGCTAAGCAACTGCGAATGTTCATCATAATTTTCATCCATCTAAATTGCAGAGAGAGTGATGAGCAGAAAGCAATTTTCTTGGCACATTTCGGTGCTGGTTTTCTTGTATGGTTTGTTTATATCCTAGGCCTTGGAATTATTGCTTCTTTTATATCTGCTCTGTGGAGATTTAAAATGATCCTTGGTAAGCTATAACTTCATCTGTCTTCTATTATCTAACTTTCCTTTTAATCTGCTTACAGTTGTCAAATATCTGTTTGTAAATGCATTATTTCATTGTTATCATTACTGTCGTTTTTTTCAGTCATAACTATGACAGCAAATTTTGCGGCAGTCGCTTGCTTAGTACATTTATTTTGGCCAACTAGTTCAAATCAGCATTATTTTCTGGCGGATATCACGTAAGCAATTCTCATTTTCTTCACCACTTGTTATGAGTTTTGAAGGTAATATCAACTCATAGAACACGAGTTAGTTTTATAATTGATGCAATTTTTAGCAACCTGAATCATATTTAGATTACACAGACGGTTCGTCCTGACTGATGATAATGAAGGCGAGGATTTTGAGAATCTGCTGATTAGTGATAGTGCTGATACTGATACGGATAGTCTTGTTAGTGGCGTATTAGAAAATATTTGAGTTCATTCTTAATCGTTGACTTAATTTTTTAACTGATACTCTTGTTAGTGGCGTATTTATTTTATTTTTTATTTCAATGCCTTATTTATTTTTGGCATTGTTGAGAAATATGAATATGTGCTTTGGGAATACGGGATTATTTTATTGACCTGGAATAAATCTTACTATAATATCTCTTTATTGCTCGATTTTGCTTTTATACTGTTTATCTTCGGTGTTGGCACTCATATTTTGATGCGTTCTTTAGAAAACTCATGCTGTGATTTTTGTCACCAAAAAGAGATTTATTTCATTAAGTTGTGTTTGCTGCAGGATTGGCGGGTAAATGATGGTATGAACTTGTTTAATTTCTTTCTTTGATGTGTTGTTATTTACTTTTCGGTTACTGCACTTTATTTTACGTATTTTCTTAAATTGATTGTAGTAAACGCATTAAATTGATTGAAGTGAACTTCGAGTAATAAGCTGCTAATTGATTAGTAATAAATTCCGCACATGTCGTCGTTACATATCACAACAACGAATTCCGTGAAGTTAGTTATGAAGTACCCATTTCAGTTACCAATGCAAATAGCTATATTTCTTGCGCAAAATGACCACTCACTTCTATGCTTTCTCCTTTTTTTTGATTGCGCTGAGCTTCTCGACCCTTTTAAAGACAAGTGATAAGTTCCTTTTAAAGACAAGTGTTTCTGTTTCACGCATTCCAGTGAGTGAGAAAAAAAAATCAAGTTATTTGCATGAAGTAAGAGCACGCAAATAGAAGGTGACATTCATATAGAGTTCGACGATCATCGAGCGACATGATTTTCGGAAGTTTATTGTATTAAATAAAATTGTCTACCTATTTTGAGAATGAAAAATTCGTTCTTGGTAACAAAAAGAAATAATTTTAATAACATTGCTGCCAAAAGGGAAAATTTGGCAGTAGTGTTTCTAAAATATATAGAATTTGTTTCTTTTTTTTAAATATAGAGAATTTGTCTTAAAGCCACGCAGTAATCATAAATGTAGAAGCAATCCTAGTCATTTATTTATTTCCTTCTCTCCGTCTGGAATACATTGTCTGTTTTCATGGTACCAAGCTAAAAAGATTGGGAATCATTCGCGATCTTCACTGGACACTGTTGACATATCGAACCATATGCATGAAAAATCATAGAAAAGAAAATGACTGCCAACGAAAATATTTACTGCACTAGTGATTAGTAACTAGAGCGATGGGATACATAAAATTGTATGGAATAAGACTATTGGAAAATTAAAATTGCCAGGATCAGGACTACATAATAAACCAGCGCATCAAATTTCCAGTCTGTCTACATGTGTGTTGTAGGTATCGTTCCGAAGGAGCACCATGATACTAACCATTTAAATTTCTTCGATTAATTCACCATCATTTGAGAACTTGCTGTTTAGATCGCCTGGACCTTGTCTTAGGAGAGGGATAAATTGGTAAAACACGAGAAAGGGAAAAAGGAGCAGCGAGGCATTTTTTAATGAGCGAGGAAAAACACCACAAAAGACAGGCAGCGAACTGTGATGTTCAAACATCCCATCATTCCTATGTAACTTTTATAATATTAAAAGTTTCTATGATGAGTATGGTAAGGTCAGTAATTATCACCTTTGCTCTTAACTGTTATTCAGCTTAAAATAATTTTTTTGGATTGAATTCCATTGCAAGTTAATTAACATTTGGCATAAATCCTGCTGTGCAATTTGGCTTCTGTGAAGCCCGGTAAAGTTTCCGGTAATTTAGGCTACCTTTTGAACAGCCAATATGTTACAGCACGCTTTTAATATACGAGCACACTTATACGGTTGTACTTCAACGCTATCGAACTATCACTTTGTAAACAAGATCAATACTTAATTTCGTGAAACTAAAAATTTTAAGCTGCTAACATATTTAATACCAATAAATGGCACACCTCGATCAATACAAAACGCTTTTTCCCAACGAAAAATTCTTTGAAGAAAAGGTTGTTTCTTATTCAAACAAAAATTGAATCAATGATTCGTAATTAAATTAAAAATTTCCTTTTTCACAACAAATTGTTTGATATGAAATGATAATACATAACATATTTCACTAAGCCAGCAGCATTTCTCTCCGCCAATAAAACACTATTGTTGCCGATAAACAAAACTAGAATTCACCTTTTCTTTTTGAGCTATATAAGTTTTTCACTAACTGATAACGTTTTTTATTAAAGTTTGCATCCGACAACCCTTCATCGATTATATGCAGCAGGCATGAAATGTAATAACAGTCTGATTAATTCAATTATTTTTTAGAAAAACAGCAATTTATTATTGGAATAGAAAGGGAAAATTAATCTTAGGATGTGCCAAATGATAATTCAGTAATTTTTATGTGAAGTGCTTTAATATACCTTCCTTTTCTATCTTTTATATGAATGTTGACTAAAGAGCAACGGATGCCCACAGAACAGTGGAAAGCAGTGAGTTTGACTCCATGATACTGGATTTATAAGCGGATTGAATCCCATGATACTGTTTGTCAATAGATTTACATTACTGGCTGTTTGATTTGATATATTAATCTGAAAAGTCTTATTAGTTTTTACGTGATAATTCTTGACAGAAAATGACTGAAATGATGTTTTAAATGACGATAAATTGGAATAATTTCTTCATCAAAGACTGTGTATAGCTCATGTATGTATGATATTTACGCTTTCCTCAACCTCTACTAATTCCGACACATCGGTTTACATTGATGGAAAACTTCGAAGTGCTGGTAAAACGCTAGAAGGTCATCCACGAAATGTGTATACTTGGGAAAGCAGTGAGTATCAAAATATAATTACCTTATTTTCCGTAACTGTTCGACTCCAACTGCATTTTATTTTCTGACCGTTTATCTCTTTTCCGTGCATAAACATGATGGCTCGAGTGGCAGCATCCTTAGTCAAATATCGTACGAATGCATATCCCTGTTGTTTGAATAATCTCACTTCGGTGACAGTAGCAATTGCGGAAAACGGTTGCATAAGTTCTTCATCTGCATTTATCCATAGATCACATAAGATCTTTTTTACAGTCATCCAATTCTCAGAATTGATGCATTTTTCAAGATTTGTCTGTAGCAACGTATAAATCTAAATCTTCCGACAACATAATTTTAACTAAATGACATAATCTTCCAAATTATTGCATCTTAAAGTTTTTGTTGCAGTCTACATATTCTATTTAAAAAAAAACTGAGAGAGACTCGTTTCAGGCAAATTCGCTAGGAAACAAGTTCGCTACAAAGCAAATCAATAAGAAACAAGCAAAAAGTAGGAAACAGGTTTCATCCCTTTCATCTTTTCGATTTAATTAGGTTCATTGCATTTCTTTTTTTTTGTCGAAGGAAGCCACAAAGGAAGAAGGATTTGGATGAACGGATTTATCCTTTTTGAGAATTTTGAATTTGAAAGTTTTATAGAGGACCACGGGTGCAGAACTTCCTTTCCACCAAATTTTCAAACTTTTATGTGTGAGCACGACCGATCAAGAATTTGCTGAAAATCTTGCATCTTACCTCATAACGAGAAAAATACCATTAGATCCCTAGAAAACTGGATTAAGGATATGCTACTTGCGAGATATAGTAATAAATTAATAGCTTTTAAATTCAATTTTTTGATTTCTTGTGGATCAAGTTGTGGTCGATGAAGGATAGCTTGAAATGAAGGAGTATATGCAGTAGTTGACGAGAAATATTAATAAATCGAAAACTTTTTTGTTAGGCAGTAATTTCTTTCAAAGGCCAAAGACCAATCCCTCTGTAAAATCAAACAAGTTTCAACTTTTTGAGTCAAACTGAGATTTCGTTATCATTGATTTAACGAATCACTGTTGACGGCATGTGTCAGACGATATGATACATGAATTAAATCTACACAATTAGCAATATATTTGCAAATTGTCATTATTAACATTTTTAACACAAAACCACAAACCGACCGGAAAAACGGCAGCTGTGATGTGATTGAAGAAGAACGAAACCCAGGTAGTGGGCTGATGTTCCGAAACAGTTACAACAAATAGTATATCAATTTTCATATAACCGTACAGAAAAGTTTACCTGTGGTAGCAGGCGAAATGCCGCCTACATAGACGGATGTGTTGGTAGCATGGGTTGCGTTGAATATATTATCGTATGTCGGTGGCTTCATGGCATACTCCTCGCCCCCATCAAATCTGCGTACTGCCCAGTTTGTACGTATTGGTCGTCGTCCAATCATCTGACCGTTCATTTTTTCGATGGCTTTCTCCGCATTCTGAAAATTGAAGCACTTTTAATATGAAACAGTGCAATAGATCTCTTGCTAGGCCAGCACTTCTCTGCATTCGAAGAACTGAGAGAAAAAACTGGCAGGAAATAAAAGATTTCATGTTTTTAGGTTGTTGCTATAAAGTGTGCATCGACCACTTACAATTAAGTAGAGTGGAAAGTGATCCACTATAAAATGGGGAAAAGAAAGGATGAAAGGAAGACCAGTGCCTTAATTTTTTTTAGTAAATAGTAAAAAAGACCTTGAGTCAACGTAAAACATGAACGAACTTACTTCCTTGACAGCGAATGACACAAAGCCATAACTTTTAGATTTCAGTGTTTGAGGGTCTCTGATCACTTTGGCCTCACTGAAACATGAATTTTTCAGCATGGAGTGTGTTCTCCGTGCCAAAAAACAACATTTACTAGAATTGTACGACAAACAATTAGGGGTAACTACTGGAAATTCGATCCAGGAGAACTAGTGATGATGTATGTATACAATAAAGAAAAGAGAACTTAAGTGTTCAGAAAATACTGCAACCAACGGCAATAAACGTTGGTAAAAGCAAAAGTTCATGGCAAGGATGTAAAGAGGTAAATTGTAAGAGGGTCTGAAAACTGACGAAATTTCTCCAAAACTTTCAAAGGCTGCTTTCAGCGTACAACTGTCTACTTCGGTCGCAAGGTCGCCAACAAATACATGGAAATTCTCTGAAATAAATCAAAACTGAGTTGGTTTCGTACGATTGCCAATCTGATGGTCATCAATTTCCTTTTTCCATTTTTATCAAATAATTCAATTTCATTTTAAACGTAATTCAATATTTCAATTTTAAACATACTATTCGTGTTCACTTTTGGTGACTGACTTCTTGGACACATATTTGCTCTCGATTCCTGCAAGCATATTATTGTCAATGCGCTTGCCATTTTGCTATTCGTAAGTACTTTCTCTGTACGAAATTTAGCTTCCATGTGTCATTTGCAGTGAAGAAATGACAACGTTTTTAAATGACCCCGCTTGGCTTTAAAAAAATATTTCTAAATGTTTCTAGCAAATCAAAACACCCTGTCAATTGTTGGACATTACGATAATGCAATTCGAGTCACCAAATATGTTGCAAATATATGATATGGGATATACGAGGTCGATTTACATCGTAAATCTTCATGACACCTTAAATGCCAGCCTGGACAGGCATACAATTGGTTAATATTAGGAAATAAGTGCACTAAAGGATCAAAAGACTTTTGTGAAGTATCTCCAAAAACGTCAAAATGGCTTTCGCTAAATGAAGCTGTAAGAAAATTGTTGTGAAAAGAAGCCTTTGAACATACGGTGATAGATCGCTGATATGGATTGTAGTATAAAGCGCCTGTGGGAGAACTTGAAGACGACTGAGAGAGAAGGAATATTGGGATGCCTTCGAATGTATTCGTAGCTGATGGGAGCATTGGTATTGGCTGGTTATATTGACTGGTTAAATTTATATGCTGCTGTAGTGGCTGACATCCAGAATTAAACATTACTACCGAAGTGGAACAGATCGGCGATATTTTATTTCCAGTCAAATGGGTTGATACCGCTGCTGAAGCTGTGCTAAGTAAATTCAGTTGCTGAGTCGTTAATGCCGAATTATTTATCTGTGGTAATGCTGCCGTTGTCATGATTTTTTTTTGCTAAATAACCGGTGAATATTGAAGTCAAGTCTTCTGATATCAACACTGATTGCTGCTGCGAAAATGAAGATGTACTGCTACAGTCATTTGTTGGATATGGGCGCTTCAGGTTTATTACTCATTCCAAAATCCTTCTTCGCAGGGTTTTTTCTGAAAAATACCAGAAGTGGAAAATATCTTAAAATATTCAATCATTAGTTTGAATGTCTTTTCTTTAATTGACAATTCAGCAGAAGCAATGCTTTTGAAATGTGCTAAAAAAACACTTTGTACCTTACATTAAACGAAATTACCATTTTCTTTTACTAAAGGAATGTTATTGATGAATAGAATGAAATCCATGATATTTTCTTATATTTCCACTTTTCAACAGTGTTGGAAAAAATCGGAAAAAGAAATAGATATCATTGGAGAGTTCCTGAAGTCAGTGGTCACATTCTTATTTGTAAAATGTTATTCGTTCACAACTAATGAAAAAAAAACAGCATGCTCGAAAGTCAGAAGCGATTCTGTTAAGTTTAATAAAAGAACAAGGAAGAAACTGAAAAAAAATGATCATAAGCAGTAGTGACAATGAGACTAGTTATGGAAATATTGCATTAATAATAGTGGTACTAATTGAGATAAGTAATATGTGAGGAATGTCATCACAAAAATAAATCGTTTTTCCAAAACAACGGTCATTGAAAACCAACAGTTACTGCATATGCGGAAAGAGTTTATCGCATTCAACTCCGATTACACAATGACGCCTAGCCTATCAATTATTTAAATCATTAATGCAAAAACCAACGTGATTTGATGATATCCCCCAACACATTGCATTTGTTCGATTTAGACTAATCCTAAGATAACAACTATCCAATAGTAAAAATTGATTCAAAGAAATCACTTTTCGTAATTGACAGTATCTTGTCTCGGTAAGTTTCACACCAGCAAGATTTGGAAGTACACTACAGTCTAAACAGGATTATATGTCCTAAAAAAGTAATCATTGAATATGGAAATGACAAATTAAAGGTTAAGAGAATCGAGTAGCGTTATAGCAAAATCCACCTGTCGCTTTTAAAGGTTATTCATCATTCTAATTACCGATGAAGCGGCGGCGAAGTTCGAGGATAATGTTCAATTTTTCATTACAAAATAATGGAAAAAAGCGCTGGTGTAAATCAGAAGCATAATCCATTCTCAGACTCTTTCGTGGGCGCAATGAGTTAGCATAAGTTATAAATTAGCATTTCGTCATGTTACTGGGGAGATATTTGCCGAATGGAAGTATTAAGAGCTTGAACAATTTTAAACACTGACTATTTGCTCATTTCAGTGACTTTCAACATAGCTTTTAAAGCTAATGGCTCGAAGAGTTTTAGAAATAAAATAAAAACTAAACTAAAAAAACGAAAGAAATAATAGTAGGAAGGTTGGAAATCGCAGGGTGCAATTCTTAGCTTTTTCCCGGGTACTACATATCCATTCATTTTCTGAATATGCTTCACAAATGTGAACATTTCCACTCCTTCGTCTCATCATCCAGCTTCGCGCAAAAAGTCTTTATTGTCGAACATATTTCACTGAAAGTGCTAATGAAAGACTGAGATTATCCAGTCCTTTACGCGTTATCATCTCTACTTCACTATCTCGTAAAGTTTGTGTTTTAAAATTAAAAAGTGTTCCAAAGCTCAATCCGTCGATAGGTTATCGTAATATAGCAAGAAATAAGTAATAGAAGTCGTATGCAATCAGAACTACATGTCAGCGGTTGCATAATTATGATTCTTTTTTGATTTTTGTTGAATGAATTTCCCTGCATATACAAGTATTATGCATTTGTATCTTTACGTCCGAAACTGTATCATGTGAACCAGAGAAAATATAAAATTCGAGTTTTGTGCTTCTCTTATCTATTATCTGAACTGGATGAGTAGAAAGTGACATGAAAACTATTGATTTATTTGTTTGACCTACTTTGATGATATAATAACGAATATGGTGGAACAATCTGGAAGAAGATAGATGAAGTGTTGAAGAAGACCACAGGTCAGAATCTATAATAATAAGCTGCATGATGCATACATGGTAATAAGATTCTTAGGCCTACAAGTTTAATAGGGATGGAAGCATCACAAATGTATGCCTAAGCATAGGATTCATTACAGCACAACATGTTACAATGCCACATCACATACGTACGTAACCCATAGAACTGCGAATGCTCATACACAGAAGTAGACGAAAACGGATCGGTTCAACTCGCATTCACTTACATGGTGTGTGTTCATACAAAAATCATGGTAATAAGAAATGGCTTTTCAATTTTGTCACGATTTATTTTCTTTACTAAACAACCACAACAGTTCCACATTGATTCTTTAAGCATTTCATTTCTTCTAAAGAAGAGGTAAAAGTTCAAAGGAAGCTTTGGCCATCTCAAGTCCTATCCTTCGCTGTCTTGCTTAATCACTGCAAATGGTATCACTTCCCTAGTGAATTGTTATCATACATCTTATCATAAACCGCTACCTTCAATTTGGAACTGTACTGCATTGGTTTCAAAACAATTATCTGGAAGAGTTTCATGATCATCAGTGATTATCAGTAAGTCAATCGTGGTGCAACGGTTGATTCGTAACCGATTTTTCAGTAAATTATACTTTTCTAAAATTCCGACTGATTCCTCCATTAGTATTTTGTTCTCTTTCAGAAACCAACAACTTTAATTTTGACACCAATTAATCGATCCAATTAATTACTAACACTGTCCAAACAATTAAGTACCTTACATTTTGTTTTTCTATCTAACACGATTTACAGTAGAATGCAATTCGCATGACGGAAGCAATGTGATGGGTGTGCTTATTAGGTATTCGCAGATATAGTTCTTAAATTGGATATATGTATCACATTTTCGGTCATTTCGAGTTGTAAGAAAAAGTTCCCACAACGTGGACAGTAACCAGGATGAGGTTGCGCTTATATTAAATGATCACACGATGAAATCACTTCTTTTCAAAAATTTAAATATTTGGTCGTGAACATTGTCACAGAAGGGAAACAACAATAGCGAACTATTTACAATCAAATAGTTCCATCCGGTAATAATAAATGCGAATGTCAACTAATAATGAAAAATATTGTAGAAAGGAAGAAGTGAACAGATGATAGTCAAAACTGGAATCATGATGGCCTAATATTATCCGAAAGTATTAAAATCTGTATGAGATTGCGATTAAGGTAGGAAACGGTTAACTTTAGGGACAAATACAATTTGAAACTTTTGAGAGGAATGCGACTAAAAGAACAAGACGGTCGAAAAGTAGTAATGACTGTTGAAGTTTATATCAAATAAAAAAAAGTGGAAGAGTGATATCGAGAATTGATACAAAGATGAAGGGAGCAAGTAAAATAGACGCCGAAATGATTCAGAATGGGTAAAGAGATGTAATCGGGGCAATATATTTGTTGTCATTTATTTTCAAAGCCAATTAGAATTTCATTGTCGACCAAGTGACCAGTAGTAATCAGCATTCATTTGGCTGAATAGTCTGATCATTTGATGTTCCATCTCACCACACAGCTCATACGACAACCTTCGTCTGCCATTTCCTCTTTTTTATCATCATTACAAGTCACTATCACTACCTTTTCCCATCTCAGTAATTCATCACTACTATTCATTACTCAACACTATCAATGAAGAATCATTATTGCCTACATTTGTCACACCACAGAGACAGACACACACACACACATACACATACGCATACACACACATATACACACACCAACCTATTTCTCTGTCTGTTACTGAAGCAGTCAAATGACACATTAGTTCGGCATTGTAGACTTATTTTGTGAGAATAAGCTTTTGATGTTGCTGTTTTACATACAATAAGCCAAGTATTCGACTAAAATATAAAAAAAAATAGTAAATGTCCATTTCAGGAAATCAAATCCTCAACTATAAATGGACAGTGAAAATGGAAATGTAATTTTCAGTTTGTGAACATATTTGGGAATGAGAAAGTAATGATAAGTGAGTGAACGCATCCACTGATTTCCAGCTTAATTTAAAAAAAAAAAAAAAAAACTCGAGCAGTGCAATGTGTGCACAGCTTCTCACATCCCTTCCTTTTCATGATTCTATCCCACCACTGAGCTCTTTATTGAACCAAATGAAGTCTATTAGTCTCACCACTCTTACAGGTAGTATGACTTTCATCCGATATTTTGTTAGTAAAAACAGTCATGAAGAAAAGAATTTTAAACCATCCGATGGTAATCAATGCAGTAAGACCATATATCACG